AAACAGCAATTTAGGGGAGGCAGGTTTATTGTGATTCCCAGTTCAAGGGATATAATCCATCATGGTGGAAACGCTCAAGGCAACTGGTCACACTGTGTCCACCACCAGGAGGCAGAGAGAAACGGCTGACAGTCCTCAGCTCCCTCGCTCCTTGTCTATTTAGTCCAGCACTGCTCATGGCACTGCCCACATTCAGGGTGGTTCTTGCCACCTCAGTCATACTACTATAAACTCCCTCTCATGCACAGGGGCTGAGGTGGCTTTAGACTCTCTCAAGTTGACAATCCGTATCAGCCATCACAACACGTGACGAGGTTGTTGAGGATGTCAGAGTTAAGGTAACTAGGATGGGCCTCCACCCAGCACATCTGGATCCTTACGAGAAGGGGATATGTGGGTGGAGATGCGCAGAGGAAGAGCAGAGCATGAAGAAGAAGGGGTGCTCCTGATATGCCAAGGGAAGGGGTCCAGAACAAAGTAGCCTCAGAAATGGCAACCCTCTGGCCACCCTGGCCTTGAACTTCCATCTTCTAGGTTTAGGAGAAGACACATTTCTGAGGGGCTCAAGCCACCTTCCACACAGCTCATGGTATCTGTTACGCAGCCCTCACTGGTCAGTCCATCCAGGGCTTGCTATGTGCCCCCTCCCACATGCTCCTAACTCTTCCTCTGCTTCTGCTGCATGAGTCCAGTTCATCCAGTGGCTAGCAGTTGGGGGCCTCGTGTGTGTTATTTCTCAAAAGTAACCTTATGCTCTGTGTCTTTCTGACTCTCCGTTCAACTGTGTGCCATGATTACTCAGTGATGGAAGACACACTGTTGCATCTACACATCCCTTCACATCAGCAGCAATGGGAAATAGGAACAGTCTGGGCTGATGGCCATCCTCTCTGCATCCTTCCCTTGTTCTGTTCTGCAGGAAGAACTCAGGTGAGCCACAGCTGACTGGGCAGCTCTCTGGTATGGTGACTGCTTTTTTGTTTGTTTGTTTGTGTTTTTCAAGACAGGGTTTCTCTGTGTAGCCTTGGCTGTCCTGGAACGTGCTGTGTAGACCAGGACAGCCTCAAACTCACAGAAATCCACCTGCCTCTGCTTCCCGAGTGCTGGGATTAAAGGTGTGCATCACCACTGCCCGGCTGTGGGGGATGCCTTTGAGAGAGTAATGAGTTGGCTGCTGGCCTCTCGCCTGGTTTCCCATGGCCTCGCTTTAAATTATTGAGTGGTTGGAAAGGCCCACAATGACATCCTATTTCATTTGCTTGTCTCCTGGGCTGTGAAGCAGATCAATGCTTCAGCTCTGTGTGGGGGCCACAGCTCAGGCTGGTCCTCCTGCTGGAGAGCAGGTCTCCCTCTGCCATGGCTCTCCCACAGGAGAGAACTCAGCACTGCTGCATTTCCTGACCCATACCTTTCTAGACCAGGTCCCAGGTGAGCCTGGCTGCCTTGTGGTATTCCCCACCCCAGGATCATGTTAAGGGAAACTTCCTCAGACCCAGGGAGAGGGGCAGGAGGCTAGAAGGGGCTGGGCAGGTCTGGCCTCTTTCTTTTATGTAGTGCGATGTCAATGGAGTGGCGATGTGGGGAACACATTGACCCCACAGTTCAGTGGCCCCTTTTCCTCTGGGCTAGAAACCCCAGGGGTCTCTAGAGACCAGGAGGTGCACCATGGGTACTAAGATGAGGAAGTTTAACGTCACCCGGCAGTTCTGATGCTGGTGATGGAATCAGGCAGGAGATGGAAATTGAGGCTCTGGAGTGACATGGCAGTGACCAGCAAGGCCCTGGGCACGGAGGGCACTGACTTAGCAGGGCTCAAGAGAGGCTGCTACAAGGAGGAAGCTTAACTAGAGCCCAGAGGGTTAGCCTGTGCTTTCCAGAAGAGTGGGCATTCCTGTGAGCCAGAGGAGAGCATAAGGTATGGTCCAGTGGGACAGGACTCCTGTTTTGACCATTTACTTCATGTATGGCTCTTAGATTCTTATGTCCTTTGTAGGCAATGACAGATTCAGGAGGGCACAGCACCAATGACCCATGGCTCACTCTTCCCTAAAAGGTCTGGGTACATTCTAACAGCACACTTAGTAATAGTGAATGCCTCAGTTTCTCTATCTGTAAAATGGTAGTGGTGACAATGGTTATGATAGGACCCTTGAGACAATTTATCTAAACTATAGAGTTGACACAGAGGCACAGCAGCCCTCGCTGTGACTTCCTTGCCTGGCTTGACCCCTCAGGTATAGTTTCACACCCATCCTCCATTCTACACCCTCAGCCAAGCCCCATGTGAGGTCCGTCCAACTCTGGCTGCCACTGGGGCCCCTCTGCTCTTCTGTCTCACTCTCTACACATCTGACATCACCCTACCTGCTGTCTCCATGTGGCTGACACTTGGGGCTCCACCTTTCATATTTCTGGGGACCTCCTGTCCAAAAAAGGAAGTGAATACTTTCAAAGCAAATGCTCTTCATTTTGAAACAATGCAAAGGCCATGTAGCATGGCAGGGGCCTTGGGCTTGTCCTCTGGGTACTGATGGAAAAAGAAAGAGCCCTCATCATAGTCACAGCTCATGTGTCTCTGGAAGCCTCATAAGCCCCAACTATGAAGAAGCTTCCTTCAAGACATGGCAGGACAGGCTGAGCTCATCAGGTGCACTGTTGGATTCAGATGTAAGCATCAACTTCACTTGTTTCCCTCATCTCTTATCTTCACACCTCCCGGAACACACTCAAGTTTATAACCTGCTGCCCAAGAGAAAGCAGTGACTGGTCCTGACACTCAGAACTAACTAGGCCACAGGTCGGGAGCTGTCTATTTCTTCTGTGCCTCATCCTACAGTAACCTACACCCATAGTCAATGGTTAGGCTACTCTCCTAAGGGTAGAAGTGACATAGCACCCTTGGATGTCCCTGTGGCCCACTGAGGGCTGTGACAATCCTGTCCTGTCTCCTGTGCACCCTGCCTCCTTCTTTACTGGCTTCGAGCATGATTTTGAGTGGTCTAGCAGCTCCAACATCTAGGCCTGATAACACAAGAGATCTCCCCAGAGCCCAGGCTCCAAGTTAGGAGAACACTGGGTCAGAACACAGGGGGAGTGTGGATGCTCTTGTCTTTAAATGTTTTCTAATCCCAAAGAAGGCAGCTCTCCTAAGAGGCAGCAGTATACAGACAGATCCTCGCTGAAAGGGCACAGACCGTGATGCATCCTGAAGTTGCCAGCAGACCCAGAAGTTGGGCCACACCCATCCTTCCTCTGGTGCCTTGGTTCCTAGAAAAGCTCTCCTCCCTGGAGGGTGTTCCAGAAAGGAGACTAGCCAAGTTGAATGTCCTCTCTTAGGCCATATTCTGTTGCTGTGACAACACACCTGAGTCAGGTAGGTTATTAAAACTAGAGGTCTGTTTGGCTCATGGGTCTGGAGGCTGGATATTCAAGGATGTGTCTCCCACATCTGATGTGCGTCTGCCCCTACCCAGTCTCAGTGGTCAGTGGAGGGCCGCATTCTACTTGTTAAGGATGCAGAGCGCTTCCTGTGTCCTCTTTGAAGCCTCTGGCGCCCTCTCCAGGCAGGTAGCTCAAACAGCAGCAGTGGGGCTTGTCAACAGTGAATCATGGGACTTGATTTTCCCTAGTCATTGTTGACCGAAACATGAATGGATCCCTGTGAGACTGGGCCATCCTTTGAGGGGGTGATGGCCCACATCTACCCCTTGGTCAAAACCACTGTCATCTTGACTTTTGTTTATTTAGCATTGGCTCTAGGCTAGCAGCTTTGAACAGTTTTCCTTGTATTACTAATTTAACCCAAGGGCAGTAGTCATTGTGACTGGAAAGGTGAGGAAACTGAGGCACCGAGAGAAAACAAGTGGCTGAGGTCACCCATGGGTTACAGCCCTGCAGACTCAGAAGTCTAGATGTAATCTATTCAAACAGACTGATTTGATACAAGTCAAATCCAGCCCGGCAGGGTTCTGTGCAAGGATAAGTTGCAGCTGGTTCAGCCCTACCTTGGTTATCAACTTCATGGGTGATTTGGTTTTCTGGGCAAGAGATCCCAGAGTTAGTCCTGCTCTTTGTGGGGAGGAATTTCTGCTCTTGCCTCAGTACTACTTCGAACAGCCCTAACCCGGGCTAAACGCCCCTGGCCTGTGCCTCTCCATGCTTGCCTGGTCCTGCATGCTCCCACTCTGGGCTCTGCGCATCCGCTCTCTCCTCTCTCTAGCCTGTCTCCTCTCAGCCTCTTGTGCCCACCTGTTGTCACCACCGGCGCACGGCAGAATCCACCTGCGCCTCCCTATGCAGACTCTCCTTTCAGTCTGTGTTTCCACGCCCTGCGCTGGACGCCTGACGTCACAAGGGGACCGGTCACCGTGTGGGCAGGATAGCGAGAGGGCAGGACGTGCCAGCGTCTCCTCAGTGTGCACCGCCCAGCGTCAGCCGAGCCGTAAGACTGACGCCTGGCGCATAAGGCAAGGTGGCCAACAGCTTAGCCCTGAAGTCCGGACACCTGCGCCGGGATCCCAACCCCTTAGGACCTCGCCCTGGGTGTGTGTGTCATTAAAGACAGCTCCTGGTCTGCTTCCCCTCCTCTATCCACCCCCTCCCCGCCCCGCCTCAGTTTCCCCCTTTCTGTGCACTTGGAAGGGAAGATCTGGTTCCGAGGCCTCCCATCACTCCAGGAGAGTTACTCCAAGATCGCTTTTCCCTGTTCCTCCCTCTTCTCGATCCCGATACTGAGACGAGCCACAGTCCCCTGGTCTCGCTTAGATTGTGTTGACAGCTCTGCAGAGCTCCACAAGCAGGTGCGGGAGGGCACCTGAGCTGCCTCCAGCCTGCGCCTGCGCGCACCGCACAGCCTGCTGGGATTTGTAGTCCTCACGTCCAACTGCGGTGGCACGCAGGCGGGTTGAGGGGGCGCGGCGCCTACACTTCCCAGGGTGCGACCCTCCCGGGGCTCGACAAGGGGCGGGGCCTAGCTGAGGGGCGGGGCGGGGCGAGGGGGCGGGGCGGGAGCCCCGAGCTGCGGTGGCGCTGCGGGCAGAGGGTACTGTGCTTCAAGCCTCTGGCCGCGGGCGCGCGGAGGATCGTGCGAGCGCCGCACCTGCGGGCCCGGTTGTCGGGCTGTCGCAGCGCTGGGACCGCCCTACTAGGAGCTGCCGCTGACATGAGTGCAGGTGAGTGCTACGACTAGGGATCCGCCGGTACAGAGCTGCAGCCCTGGCAGAGTCTTGAGGACTGGGTGGCAATCAGGCTGCACCTGCAGTGCAGAGCCCTGAGCCCAGCGGCTCCACCCAACTTTTGCTCCAGGGTTTGCAGCCCAGAAAGGCCGGCCCTCAGCCCCTGCCCCTGAGCCCGGGTCGCGGAGCTCCGTGGTGTGCGCCAGGATTCCCACCCACAGTGCCAGCTAGGGTAGCTGCGCAGGGATGTCTGGTAGGCGCCACTCCTTGCTTCTCGTGGGGGTTCCAGGTTGCTTCAGTAAAGGGACTTGGGTCCTGTAAAGGGGCCCTAGGTCACCGCAGTCCTAACCGTGGAGAGAGGTGTGATGACAGGCGGAGCTTTGCAGCAGGGGACTCCGCCCTTGCGCGGTTCCCGCAGCGCCTGGGTGGTGGCGTCTGGCAGACCCTGAGCGCCCCGGCTTCGCCGCTGCAGATCTGAGTGCCAGAGCCTCTATGTGTGTCAGTCCCGGCGCTGTCTGTGCGCGTTGTCCTTCCAGCTCCTCAGTCCTGAGCGTCTCAGCCCTGCCTCTTTCGCCGCACCCACCCACAGGGATCTGACAGCCTCTGTGCGATGCTGGAAAATCCCAGGTCCCTGCAATCCAGCAGCGCCTGTGCTCAGAGAGAAACTGAGATCTAGAGCTGGAAGGTTTTGGCTCAGACGCGGTAGCGTCTGCACATCACCTCAGGATGCACCCATCTGACATCCTCATGAATGTGTGGGGAGGGCTGATCCTTGCATTCCCCAGCAGAGAGGGGCAGGCCTCCATTTTCAGGAGCTATGGCCAGACTTCAATGACTTGAGCTCTGGCAAGTGATAGAGATCCGAACCCAGGGCTCCTTGATTCCAGCATGCTTCCTTCCAAGCCCAAGTTGCTACTGACAGCGGTGTGGCCCTTGGCTATGTTGCATAAACCAATAGGTACAGCTGCTTCCTCTGGGAGAAAGTGGACAGGGAGGGAATGAGCTTGGGGACAGCTCACTGTGGGCTCTCAGCCTGGAGTACCTCCTCCCAGGAGACTGTCCCTTCTCCCTCCTAGCCAAGGAAGGAGGAACTTCCGCAGTGGCTGTTGAGAGTAACTAAGCAAGTGGCTCGGGAAGCAGGATCTCTCCTGAGATGGCCAACCTGTTACCTGGGGGTGGATGGGGAGGGCATCCTCAGACTTGGCAGGCCTCTCCAGACATTTATCTAATGGCGGTGGAGGTAATGGCTGGGTGCATGTAGGGTAATTTCATGCTTTCAGACTATAATTGATACTTCTGGTCCTCCCGTAATCAGGAGCCCTCAGAGGGAGCACAGGTGCCCACTCCCTACATTTGTACTTTTTGTCCCTGGGGGAGGAGGGCTGGGGTTGTCATGACAAGGAGACTAGGTTCTGAGCTATGGTGTGTGCCTGGTAGTCTTGGTTCTGGGACATCTCCCCAGTCTTGGCCTGCTCGTCTGGAACTTTGGTTCTCCTCTAAGCAGGAAAACCCTGTGTACAGCAGCCCCTCAGGAGTGTGGATGGCCATTGTTGTGGCTGGGTCCCCTGGGTTCCTCTTGGAATGGAGCTCAAGTGTTGTCTGGCCCACCTGTCTCTTATGTCTTGGCTCTGAGTAGCCTATTGTATGCACAGTGGTGAGTCACTCTCACTTACAGTGGAGGAGAGTGGACAGAGGCCCATGGGTTCTAGCGTGCGGCTGCTGTGTATGACTGGCAGCTCAGGAGCTTTCATTGACAACAGGGAAAGACTCCCCTGTGCCTCCCTGGGAACCTGGAACCTGGAGCAGACAGGTTTCATGGAGCAATACTGGTCCTGACCATGCCCAGATGGGCAGGTGATGGGAGTGCCTGGCAACCTGTACAACCTTCTAGGCTAGAAGTTCCTTCCCAATTGTGGTGAGGATAGAGAGGGCACTGCTGGGGTCTGACAGCACAGTGCTTCTCCATGCTGGTTCTGGTGTGACACTGAGGCCTGTGGATGCCACCCTGGCTGTGACTGCCTGTTGATCTCAAGTGGCCAGGAAAACCGTACAGAACACTGCAACAAGGTAGAGGAAGGAGATGATGCTCCATGGCAGACAGGACTTGATCTGAATCCAACATACTAGCCATGCAGTTCTCTGTGTCTCAATTTCCCCAGCTGTTGGAGGAATTGCTATAGCGATGTGTGCAGAGCCAGCCTTCACACAGTGAGACTGTAAGGTGGTCTTGGGAACAGAGGTCGCTTCTTTGCATTGCAGCCCATGTGACCACAGTGGGATAAGGGGGCTAGGAAGACATCTGAACCAGGAGTGGACATGATGGATCCTGTGCTGGCTCTGCCAACAGGCACTGGGTCTTGAGTAAGGCCTGTGTACTTGCTAAGCCTATATGTCCCGGGAGGTAGCTGTAGACCTGGCTGAGCTGAGGTAAAGACTTGCAGGCATGTGCATGTGCATGTCTGTGTCTGTGTGTATTTGATATTATAACTAGGTGCCACAGACCAGGGGCTTTATGGGAAAATTTATTTTTGGACAATGCTGGAGCCCAAACAGTCAAGATCAAGGCATCAGCAGACCAATTCTCTCTCCTTGGCTTGTAGACAGCATGCCCTCCCTATGTCCTCACAGATTTGTCCCTCTGTGTGTCTGTGTCCTGTTGTCCTCCTCTTCTAAGAACACTGTGCTGATTGGATGAGGGCATGAGAGTGACCTCATTCCATCTTCGTGACCTCTGTCAAAGCCTCTTCTCCACATACAGCCACAGTCTAAGGTGTTGGGGTCAGGACTATACTGTGTGAATTCAGCTCAGAATAGGTGGAGGCATGGGAGCCTGGCTTAGCCACCGTTTACTCCCATGGCTTCTGTGTAAGCAGCTGGAAGGGACCCAAGGATGCTCCGGATGTGCCCACCCCCACACAGGACAATGAGGCCTGGAGAAGGACCAGCACCCATCCAGGGTCAAGGAGAGTATTTGGTACATCTATCTAACACACTTGGAATGTGGCCCTTGCTCCTCCTATCCCAGGAGTGGGCAGTGTGTGGCCACAAGCTGTCTTGTCTGCCTGGGTACTACTAACATACCAGAGCAGGTCACCAGCCATGGTGGAGAACAAAGATACCAGACATCATGCCTTCATCCTGGGAATATTTACTAGGTGCCTGCTCTATGCCTGTGCTGCTCCAGTTCTGAGACTTTGCAGCAAACAAAAATGTGAGGAAACTATCAGTTTCTTGAAACTTGCATCCTAGGTGGGTGTGGGAGGCATTAACAGAGGATATGATGACCTCTCAGTGTTAGCGGAAAATGTTTAAGAAAACTAATTACATTAAAAAGCTACAGAGCGAGATCCAGGACAGGCGCCAAAACTACACTGAGAAACCCTATCTCAAAAAACCAACCAACCAACCAACCAACCAACCAAACAAACAAACAAACAAAGGCAGCAGAGCGGAGCTAGAGAGATGGCTGGATGGTTAAGAGCACTGGTTGCTCTTCCAGAGGACAAGGGTTTGATTCCCAGCACCTACATGGTAGCTCACAGCCTTCTGTAACTCCATCTCCAGTGGAATCTGAGAGATTCTGGCCTCCTCAGACACCAGGTGCACAGCTGGTGCACACAAATACATGCAGACAAAACACTTGTACACATAAAATAAAATCAATAAACAGTGGATGGTGAAACTGCATATCACATGTGAACTCAGCACTCCCACACAAGGAAGAAAGGCCAGCATGTCTGAGGTGGCGCTACTGCCCGCTCTTCTTTGTAATGGGATATAGAGTTCAAAGCAGGAAACAGTGTTGTTTTGATTCTGGGGATGGCGTTCATGGGTTTGGAAACCCATGATTGCAGAGAAATGGGATGTTCCATTCTGTAGGAGTCATTGCCCTTTGCACAGAGCACAAGCGGGCACCTCATTGTCCATGGCTAGGTGGAGCCGAGTACAGGCAGACACTGGGTCCCATCTCTCCTAACAATTCCACTGTGGGTAAAGTACAACAGAGATGAATCCCCCTAACCCTGAAATGTGTCAGGAGTCACATTTGGTCAGGACTCTGAGGACCATGAACTGGACTGATATTTTCTGATTCCTTATGCTCTGTATCCCCAAACTCTGACTTTATTTCCTTTGATGGTCAAGGTTAATTCCTAAGCTAGCTACCCCAAATTAAGTTTCTGATAATGAGGTAGCTTGGTATTTTCTAGAATTAGATTTGAAGCTGGTGAACGCTTGGGAAATCCATTCTGATATCCCAGGAAAGGGAGTGTCCTGTGACCCTTTGAGTGTTCCTAAATTACTCTGCCCAACACTGGAGAGCTCTGAACTGGCGAGAGGGAAGAGGGTTAGCCCTGAGGAAGGCGCTGTCCTGTCACTGGCCCTTTAAAAGGGGCCACGGCCTAATCTCAGGGCCAGGCCAGGCCACAGTTGCTGACACTGGCAGCTGTTGGGACTCAGGGATGCTGGCCTCATGCCCACCTGCTTTAGAGTCTGTGGCTGTCCTCTGCACGGGCTCCTTGTATCCTTCCTTGTGCTTTCCTGGGGCTGTACCAGCCTCATCGGAGGTATGGTGGGACCTGCCATGGAGCTGGGCCTCCTGGGCTGGCTTCTTGCCGTCCTCTGTATTTCCCCGATCATGTATCAGGGTCTTGGGAGACTGAGGGTGCTAGGCACTTGGTACCATTGCCAGCTTCCTGGCAGCGCCTCAAAGAGCAGGTAAAACAGCCACTGCAGGAAGACACTGTGACAGGCAGTGTCAGCTCTTGGATTTAGTCACTATCATGTGCTGTGATGGGGGCTTCTAGGCTGCTTTGAGCACGCTGGGCTTCAACTAAATTGCTGCGGAGAGCCCCAAGGCTGCTGGTCCCTGGCAGAGTAACTCGAGTGTCTCATCTCTGTTTACTCCAGGAATGTTTCCACCACCACACAGCTCAGGGCTTCTAGGGTATCCGCAGCACCCAGGCAGGACAGACAGGCTTGTATGTCACCTCAGCAGC